TCATCCATACTTTTATTTTTTTAACAGTTTGAATGAACTTAGATTATTTAAAAAAACCTATTTAATGAAACGAAAGCTTTAATCATTTTTCAACAATAAAAAATATTACTTACGATAACATATAAATAAAACATTTCGATCAATGCCAACTTAAAGAAAAATCACTTGTTAATTTTCTGTCATGGAGTTGGTGCGATTGCACACATCACACGAAAGCATTACTTTTGAGAGTGCTCGATTGTGCCAAGCGTTACTGTAGTTGAAACACTCAACGTTAAACATTATGCCGCATAAGGGTACGGCCAGAGTGCACTCAGATTCAGATTCAGACTCAGAAAACAAGCGCGAGAAATAAACAGTGTAGTTAAAGCAGGGTGGCCATAGTGGCCGCAGGCAACCTGCTTAAACTACACTGTATATTTCTCGCGCTTGTTTTCTGAGTCTGAATCTGAATCTGAGTGCACTCTGGCCGTACCCTAATGCGCTATAATGCTGTAATTGGAAAACTACCATTTGTTTGTACCTTCATCCATACTTATATTTATTTTTTAACACAGTTTGAATTAACTTTGATTTTTAAAAACAAAAACTCTAATGAAACGAAAGCTTTAATAATTTTTCAACAATAAATAATATTACTAACGATAACATAAATAAAACATTTCGATCAATGCCAACTTAAAGAAAAAACACTTGTTAATTTTCTGCCACTGAGTTGGTACGATTGCACGCATCACACGAAAGCATTACTTTTGAGAGTGCTCGATTGTGCGAAGCGTTGCTGTAGTTGAAACATTTAACGTTAAGCATTATGCCGAATAATGCGCTCTAGAAGTGCGCGCCAGATAAGTCTGCGCGCGACTGGTGGCGTGACTAATGTTGCCAGTTATGGGAAATAAATTTCCGATCACAGACATTAAATAGGAGTAGAGGGAAAATCGGATGAGGTTAATAAAAAACTTCTCAGTAGTTTATATAAATTTAATTCTTTTTTTATGAAAAGTTAGAATTGAGGGGGATGACGAGGTTAAAATACTTACACTTTGTCTACTAATGTCATCAGGTTAGTCATGTTTTGAAATAGAATAAATTTGGTTTTCTAGAGCAAATATTCTTATTTTCACAGTTTTAACAAATTTGGTCTTTTCACAGTACATTAGTGTTCGAACAAAATCTAACTAGCTAAGTGGACTACAAAAAAAATGTACAAAATATACTTAAGCATAGATCGAAAATATATGTAAATAATTAAATATAAAATTGGAATATCCCCAACAATACATAAAGGTATTGTAGTATCTGCTTTTTATGAAGTGTTTTTAATTAAAAAATAAACAACATTAAATATTTCTCCAAATCTTTTATTAAATATCTTGCGGTACTTCTAAATTGTGTGTAAGTATTGTCCTCCAGTGGGTCAATGCCTTCCATTATATTACTTTCTGGGTCTTCATTGATTTCGTCGTCAGAAGAGTCTAACCTTTCATCGTCACTTGTAGGATCAATTATAAATTTATCAAGTTCTATATCCATAAATCTATCTGATTCGAAATATTGGTCTTCGATTTTTCCACGTGTTGACACACGTTAATCCATTCCGACGTTGTTATAGTGTTGAATGGTCGGAATTTCCTTTTTGACAACATAAAATGAATGTATCATGTGCTTATAGCACACTTGTCAAAATCGTCTATTTCCAATAAACTCTTTTCCTGGAGTTATAATTTTTGAATTCGAAGCTTCAGCAACAGTACTTTCTAGAGTTACATGAGTAAGAGCCCGTTCAGAAATACCTGAAAGGAAAAAAAAATATATTAAATTATCCGATATACTTAAAAAACAGAAATCACCCTACACGAAAGCAAAAAAAATGGATGCGTGTAACTTATGTACGCGCGTGAGAAGTTATACTTCTTTAGCATCATTAAAAAAAAATGGGTGCGAAGTTATCCTTCTTTGGCATCGTTTAAAATTAGTTTTTAATTGCATGCAAATAATTAATTACAATAAATTAATAAAAAGTCTGGAAAAGGACACAGTCAATAAAGTTCAGTTTTAATTTGAAAAAATAAATAAATAATCAAAATATTCAATTCAAATCGCTACTGAATATAATTTATTAGAACATATGTGATTTGCACTTGTATGAAACTCAAACACGTATTCCGAATATACAAACTAGAAACATGTGGATAAATATTTTAAATATGAATACCTATAACTGTCACTTTATTACAAAAAATAAAGATGTGGTTTTTGGTTCTACTACACCAATGGTCAAGAGATGGCGCTGTAGTCTCCTGAATCGCGCTTTGGTTCCGTTGTTCCAGATTAATAAATACTTTTGATAGGCCTTCACAATGCAGTCGTTAGCACCCACTAAATAGAGATTCTATTTCTATTTTGTTGGTAGATTTTCTTAATGTGCGGTAAACACAAAAGTATTTTTTGTGTTACAGTGATGCGCGCGCATCTTAAAATTTCACTCTCATCATTTTTTCATAACGCGCCTAAAGAAGTATAACTTCAAAAATATTTTTTAATTGCATGCAAATAATTCATAATTACAATAGAATAATAAAAGGACTGGAAAAGGATAGTTAACACAGTCAATTAAGTTCAGTTTTAATTTGTAAAATTAAATAAATATTCAAAATATTCAATTAAAATCACTACTGAATTTAAGTTATTAGTCTATATGTAATTAGCACTTGTAAGTAACTAAAACACGTTGTGTCTATATAGAAACTAGAAACATGTGGTTAAATATTATAAATATGAAAACAGTGATCAGAGGAGACGAGCGTGCCAACATTGTTTTTGACAACGCGATCATCTTATGGAGCTCCATGGATCGTTCAAAGTACCTTTCGAACAGATGTCTAATTATATTAATTAACCACTAAGTGGTTAATAATCCACCATTATTAGACACTAACATTCATAACGCGCCCGCAGCCAACTTCATGGTGTTACTATTGTGTTACAGTGATGCGCACGCATCTCGAAATTTCACTCACATGATTTTTTCATAACGCGCCCGCGGCTAACTTCATTATGTTACTTTTGTGTTACAGTGATGCGCGCGCATCTTAAAATTTCACTCTCATATTTTTTTCATAACGCGGCTAAAGAAGTATATATTCAATAATATGCAATGGTCACCCCAAAAATTACCTGTCAAGAAAGCAGTCTGTGCTCGTATTTTAAAAAATGGTACAATTGGTACCTTATTGTCCCGTTCTGCTTCACAAGAACGTTTCACATTCAAAACAATGGTGGTTTTCCAATTACAGAGAATAATGCGACTCAGTGGCGCACAATGCCGAATTATGGTGATGCTTAATTGGAACGTGAATTAGTTTTCAAATGCACCAGCAGAGTGCGCTAAGTTCAATGTTGAAAAAAAAAGTCATGTTTGTACCTTCATCCATATTTATATTTATTTTTTTAACACAGTTTGAATTAACTTTGATTATTTAAAAAAAACTATAATGAAACGAAACTTTTAATAATTTTTCAACAATAAATAATATTACTAATGATAACATATAAATAAAACATTTCGATCAATGCCAACTTAAAGAAACACTTGTTAATTTTTTGTCGCTGAGTTGGTACGATTGCACGCATCACACGAAAGCATTACTTCTTCCGTATATCAAAAGTACTCTTTGATTACTTCTGAGAGTGCTCGATTGTGCGAAGCGGTGCTGTAGTTGAAACACTCAACGTTAAGCATAATGCCGCATAATGCGCTATAATGCTGTAATTGGAAAGCTACCAATCTCTCTGCCAGCACTTTTAATGACTTTTGGCATGATGGTTACCAAATTTGACCACTGTAAAGAAATAAAAACGCAAAACACTCTACACACGCACAACACCTGACGTAACGACAACATGGCGGCCTGCGATTAGTTCCGATTTTGGCCGCGCGCAGACTTATCTGGCGCGCACTTTAGTGCTATAATTGGAAAACTACCATACTTACTGCTATTAATTATTCCTGATCTGGTCAGATTCTAATGTAAAAAAAAATGGGTGCGTGTACTTATGTAGGCGCGTGAGAAGTTATCCTTCTTTGGCACCGTTTAAAATTAGTTTTTAATTGCATGCAAATAATAAAAAGTCTGGAAAAGGACACAGTCAATAAAGTTCAGTTTTAATTTGAAAAAATAAATAAATAATCAAAATATTCAATTAAAATCGCTACTGAATATAATTTATTAGAACATATGTGATTTGCACTTTTATGAAACTCAAACACGTATTCCGAATATACAAACTAGAAACATATGGATAAATATTATAAATATGAATACCTATAACTGTTACTTTATTACAAAAAATAAAGATGTGGTTTTTGGTTCTACTACACCAATGGTCAAGAGATGGCGCTGTAGTCTCCTGAATCGCGCTTTGGTTCCGTTGTTTCAGATTAATAAATACTTTTTGTTACTTAATTACAAAAAATAAAGATGTGGTTTTTGGTTCTACTACACCAATGGTCAAGAGATGGCGCTGTAGTCTCCTGAATCGCGCTTTGGTTCCGTTGTTCCAGATTAATAAATACTTTTGATAGGCCTTCACAATGCAGTCGTTAGCACCCACAAAATAGAGATTCTATTTCTATTTTGTTGGTAGATTTTCTTAATGTGCGGTAAATACAAAAGTAAGTGATGCGCGCGCATCTTAAAATTTCACTCTCATCATTTTTTCATAACGCGCCTAAAGAAGTATAACTTCAAAAACATATGAATAAAACTGAAGATTTTAAGCTGTATAGCCATTGTTTCTTTTGCTTCCCTAAAAAGGGAGAACGTGTAAAAAACTGATACTAAGCAATATCTGAAATTCATCAAACAATAAAACTATTTATTAAAATGAATTTCCTAATTCTAATAAATAAAAAAACTAAACATGAGGCTGTATGGGCATTGATCCTTTTGCCTTCCCTGAAAAGGGAGAACTACAAAAAAAAATAAAAAAATACCATTAATTTCTCGACCTTTGCCTCTTACTTTATATGCGTAAATAAAATAATTTAGTAATTATGACTCGAAACTTCCGTGATTTTGATAAAAATTCTTCAGATGAGAGTAACATTGAGATAAGTAGTGAAGGAGAAGACTCGTCGTCTACGCTTCATGGTAATTTCGTCTATTCTGTTTGTTTATTTGCTTGTAGGTTTTTAATAAGTTGGCTTGATACTGTTGTCGATTCTGGCGTGATTCTCTAAACTTAAAACTAAATTTAACATCAGTCTCTCCTTTTCATTCTGTATAGAGAATGACAAGGATACACTGTTGTCAAATTTAAGTTTAGATTTAGAGAATCTTGCTAGAATCGACACCAATGTTATATTTGGTTTGGTTATGATTTTTTAGGCAACTTACTCGAAATATTCGATATCGAGATAGGTGCTGGCTGAAAATCAGCGCTGCTGTGGTATCGCGAAAGTACTACCACAGTAGCATAGCTGAGACAGCAACCTGTTGGCCCTGCACAGCAACACCAACAGATTAGCTTTGTTGTTTTTGTTTATTTTTTTTTTCTTTGTCGTTATGTTCTTTAATTCTGTTTTGTTTTCAATGTATGTATGCTATGCAACCTACTGCTGCTGCTGCTGTTGCTGTTGTGCTGTTTATTAGATAATACTTTTGATCTAATAAACAGATGAGTGATGGTCTTTCCTAGTGCGGAACTTCTACTACTAGGTTATTATAGTAACTTTTGTGCCAAATTTCGGATATACTATACTTTCTGGACCCAAGAGTAGTATTATTAAACAAAGTGACTGTACTGTACAGTGAAAAAGGTAAATTTAAAAAATCAAAAAACCCGACTTCTTATCTATTACTTCAATTAAAAACTGAACCGAATGGCTAGAAGAATTTCGATGCGGCCGTTAGGGCCGCGGTAGCATAATTGGTCAGTGCATTCGCCCGGATAGCGAAGGGTGCTGGTTCGAGTCCCCTCTGCTGCCTGGTCCGTGTGGAATTATTCTAGTTATATTTTCTTTAGATTTAAACATCAAGCAGTTACATGCTTCAAAAAATATGACTTGTTTAATTGTACAGAAATATGATTTTCATATCAAATATACTGATTGCACATAGAAAATTAACCAGGGCTTCGACGTAAAATAACTATTTCGCCACAGGTTTCCTATTAAGCATTTCAAAACTTGCTCAACATTGGGACACTTTTGTGGTTATAAAAATAAAGTGAGTGTGCTTATGACCACACAAGTGAAGTGAAACTTCTTAAGCTCCAATGATCTGAAAATCATAAACTTAACCTGAAGATTGGTCGATAGAAAAAAAAAACCACCAATCTGCGCTGGGTCCGTTATCACCCCCCAATCTGCACTGGGTCCATTCTCAGCCACCAATCCGCGCTGGGTCCGTTATCACTCACCAATGCGCACTGGATCCGTTAACATCCACCAATCCGCGCTGGTCTGTTATCACCCTCCAATCCGTATTTGGTCCATTATCACCCACCAATCCGTGCTGAGTCCGTTATCACCCACCAATCCGCTCTGGGTCTGTGATCACTCACCAATCCGCACTGAGTCCGTTATCACCCACCAACCAGCGCTGGGTACGTTCTCATCCACCACCCAACAAGCACTAGATTCATGTATTTTGTGACGGGTATTGTTCATTGTTTACCGATGAGTCACCAATGACACTAATTGTAACGCGAAATCGTAACACATTCGCCAGTTTACCCCCCAAGTCAAGCGTGCTTAAAGAAGTTTTACTTCAATAATTAGATTCTTATGTCAATTAAATGGTGTTACACTAGGTAAACTGCTGTATGAGATAAAAATATGGCAGATTTGTTTTAAAAAAATGATGTATTTTATTTGTTGTGAGGTGGTTATTATTAGCTATGCATTTTTAAAAAAGCTTTAGTTTTAAATAAATAGCAATGTATCACCAACTTAAATTATTACTAATATAACAATATTTTGAGGTGACTAGTTTGGTGTCCGTGATGATTTAGCATACACACAATCAATATACGGGTTTTCGTTGTGCCATTAAATACTGAGTAAATAGTGCCAATTAAATGTAAAAATAAAAAAAAATGTGCCTCTTTAATTTAAGAAATAAAGACTATTTTCACTGTGTACGCCAGCATGATGTCAAGCTAGCGTACCCATGGCCGTCCCCAAGAACGGCATATATTTAAGCAACGAAATTGACACACAAAAATAGTTTGCAAATAGTGCCCTGGCTTTACAAAATTTCATAATTAATACTCTTAAAGGACCAAAGCTATTGAACTAAACATTCTTAGCTGGCGTACCCATAAGGCGCTTTGCAGACGACGGGGAGGGGCGGGCTTTTTGTCCGCGAAGCAATAAAAAACGCGTCTGCCCGTCGATTTCTGCGTCTGCCCTCGCCGCGTACACAAAGCCATTTCAAAATGGCTAGTATTCCACTGCAAATCAGAAACTGTCATTTTGTATAAAAAATAATTCCCAATCCTAAGCAAAAATACTTATTGCACAGCAAAATAGGTGTCCGTAATGCTAGCGTACACACGATCAATATACGATTTATCCGTGCGGTGACGGAGAAAGTACAACTCACCGCCCCTTCTCTTCCCGTGGGTATCGTAAGAGGCGACTAAGGGATATCGGAGCTTCCATCCGCTCTGCTGGTGGTAGGGTGCCTAACACCCGCCTGGTTTGTTACCACCGTGCGCATGGTGAAAAACCCGTGAAGTGCTTCTCGCGCGTTTCGGGGTCAGCCAGCGTACAACCAGGGCTCGAGTGGAGGTTGTCGCGACGGATTCGGTCCAGGGCTAGGCATCCGTGGAACCGATGCCGGAAGGACTGCATCGACCCGCCGGCCAGGGAGACCCGTAGAAACGGCTGTCCCGCTGGCCGCCCGTGGCACAGTACAGGGGCCCGAGCGTTCCTAACCAGTTCGCGAGGCTGCCCCATCATGTAACGCACAATCTCGGGGTGGACCGTCGTGCCGGTTGGTGACCGGGGCGTGGGGTCCCGGCGGCCACTTCCGGGGGGGTGCGGGGGCCCTTCCGTCCGGCGGGTCGGCGTATATCCTCTGCAGGCAATCATTCGGGGAAACATGCCTCCCTAATTTGCCCGGTCTTGTCGCGACAACGTCCACTCGTTTCACGTCTCTTTTTCACTTCCATAATGGCAGCTCCTAAAACAAAGTTTGGACGTTCAGCGGTGCACACCCCCACGCCTTCAACGCTGTTTGAGGTCGAGTTCTGCAACATACGCGGACTCCACTCTAACCTTAACGCTGTCCACCACCATCTTGAGACAGCACGGCCAGCATTGTTGTTCCTGACGGAGACACAAATACTTCCGCCTGCTGACACAGGCTACCTTAATTATCCCGGCTACGTGCTTGAAGAGTCCTTCAAAGCGAAAGCCGGTGTATGCCTGTATGTTCGGGCGGATGTTTGTTGTCGCCGTCTCCGCTGCTTGGAAGATCCCTCCTTCTCCATGCTGGGGGTACACGTCGACTCTGGCCTCCTGGCCAGAGTTTACGTGTGTCTCTACAGATCCCACACCGGCGATGTTGAGACAACTCGACTTTTTGAGCACCTTAGTCGGGCAGCAGATGACGCGCAGGAACAATTTCCCAATGCAGAATTGGTGTTTTTGGGGGACTTTAATGCTCACCACAATTTGTGGTTAAGTTCTTCCAAAACTGACCATGCAGGGATCTCTGCTCACGCATTCGCTCTCACGCATGACTTGAAGCAACTGGTTGATCAGTCCACCAGGATCCCAGATATTCCAAGTCAAGCGCCTTCTTTACTGGACCTTCTGCTCACGACCCATCCACAGGGCTATCAGGTTGTGGTAAGAGCCCCCCTGGGCTCGTCAGACCACTGCCTGATATCTGCCAAAGCACCACAGGCCAAGCCTCCGCGTCCAGCAGTGGTCAAGCGCCGTATCTGGCATTATGGGTCGGCAGATTGGGACGGTATGCGTGACTACTTTGCGTCCGTCCCTTGGAAGCAGCGCTGCTTCAGTGACAGGGACCTATCGGCCAGTGCCGTTGCCATTACTGAGGAGATTATAATGGGTATGGAATACTATATTCCTTATTCTGATCTCATCAGTAAGGGCACGCGTAACCTCTGGTTCAATCACGACTGTGCTGAAGCTGCTTCGCGTAAGCAAGCGGCATATCGTGCTTGGATCAGAGGTCGCGCTCTCAAGGATCCCGAGGTCGATTTACTCAAAGCAGCCTACAATTTTGCTTCCAAGGCCTGTAAGAAGGCTTACATTAGAGCGGATGCCCAGCGCGTTGCACGTGTTGGCCAGGAACTTATGACGCATCCTACGGGCTCCCGTAGCTACTGGCGTCTGGCAAAGGCCGTGCAAAAAAACTTCTGCGAGCCCTCGCTGCCACCTCTGAGATGCCCAGACGGAACACTAGCCCATAAGCCGCAGGAGAAAGTCGATTTACTGGCAAAACTCTTTGCGGCTAACTCCCGAATCGATGATTGCAATGCACTGCCACCATCATTACCTCACTGTGGCACAACGATGCCTGATATTAAAATCAGGCAGCGCGAGGTTCGTGCCGAATTGCAATCACTCGACGTCCGGAAAGCTAGTGGACCTGATGGCATCCCAGCAGTAGTACTTAAAAAATGTGCAGCGGAGTTGTCTCCCGTGCTCACGCGCTTGTACCAATGCTCGTATTCTTTGGGGCGTGTGCCGGAGACTTGGAGAGATGCTAATGTGCAACCGGTACCCAAAAAAGGGGATCGCTCAGACCCGGCAAACTACCGGCCAATAGCAGTCACCTCAGTTTTATGTAAAGTTTTAGAAAAGGTCCTTAATAACCATCTGACCCGCTACCTAGAGGATCACTCCTTGATTAATGATCGTCAATGTGGTTTTAGACCGAAACGATCGACGGGTGATCTTCTAGCGTACTTAACTCATATCTGGGGTGAGGCTATCGACAAGCGTGGCGAGTCGTTGGCTATCAGCCTTGACATTGCCAAGGCGTTCGACAGGGTATGGCACAAAAGCCTTCTCTCCAAGCTTCCGGCATACGGTCTGCCAGCCCAGTTCTGTTCTTGGGTGGCTGACTTCCTGCATGAGCGTAGAATTCGTGTCCTTACGGATGGTAGCAGTTCGCGGTTCATGTCAGTGAATGCCGGCGTTCCCCAGGGCTCCGTCCTATCCCCCACTCTCTTTCTGCTGCATATCAATGACTTAATTCCTCTTGGGAATATTCATTGCTATGCAGACGATACTACAGTGCATGCGGGGTATCTCGGACAAGCAGCAGCTGGGCTGGCGGTAACCAAGGAGAAACGCGAGAATCTTGTCATTGAACTCAATCAGGCTTTGGCCCACATTTCCGAATGGGGTACCAGGAACTTGGTTGAGTTCAATGCCAAGAAAACTCAGGCTTGCGCTTTCACGGCAAAAACATCGTCATTCCTTCCCCTTCCATCTCTTCAGGGCACAACACTACCGCTGCAGAGCAACATTTCCATGCTCGGTATGGAAGTTCGATCAGACCTGAATCCAAAGGACTACATCGAAACCGTGATCAAAACAGCTTCACGCAAACTCGGAGTCCTGAACAAGGTGCGGCGTTTTTTCACGCCCGATCAACTGTGCTTGTTGTACAAAACGCAAGTGCGGTCCTGCGTGGAATATTGCTCGCACCTCTGGGATGGCTCCGCCAAGTACTTGCTCGATGCTTTGGATAGGTTACAGCGACGCGCGATCCGCATCATAGGCGATGAGGAGGTGACTAAACACCTTGAGCCTCTTCAATTACGCCGTGACGTGGCGTCACTAAGCGCGTTCTATCGTCTGTACCACGGCGAGTGTTCTGATGAGTTATTCTCTCTTATCCCACCTTCTCCTTTCCTTCAGAGGACCACGCGCGCTGGCCTACGTTGTCATCGTCTAACTGTGGCCACAATTCCAACGCGTACAAAGAAATTTGGTGACTCATTTCTTTGTCGCACTATCCGTAAATGGAATGCTCTGCCCGCTCACGTGTTCCCTCCCACTTACAACCTGGGATCCTTTAAAAGAGGCGTGAAGAAGCAACATGCAGGCCAGTAGGGTGAAGATGGCTGATGTGACAGGTAAAACTGCTGTATCAGCTATCGTCACGTCTGGACTTCACCTTCACTTAACATCAGGTGGGGTGGAGTCATTTGTCGGACCTATCTATAAAAAAAAAAAAGGCAAAACCCCCCAAGTTCCCTCGGCAACAGCCGCCAAAAGAGTGCACTAAAGTAGTCTCGATCACTCTCATTCATAAAGCAGATTACCTACATTTCGCTCTTTAGCCTCTATATAACAACGGTGTCAGCAACTGTCAAAATAAGTAATCTCTAAATATGTTTTACATGTTTTTTTTTTTAAACTGTACTTACGAATAAAATGACACATAGGGCTTTTTGTCTGGAAAAACGTAAAATATATACACGTTATAAAGTGTAGCCGCGGCGAGAGAGCGTGCCCGAATGATTGCAAGTCTGGCAATTACCTGACTTTCGTATTGCCAAGTTAGAAGCGTATTTTACTAATCTATAACCTTAAAACATCATAGGTTGCACTTTTATAAATGGTTAACAGATAATATTTTATTTTTGATTCACTATTTTAAATAATAATGACCTACACATTCAAAATATATATATATACAGTAGAACGCCGATTATCCGAACGCCGATTAACCGAATCGCCAATTATCCGAATCGATCCTAAGCGTAATATAAAAAATTAAAACCAAGTCATTTTTGTTTTGTTCTAATAAGTTGGAACTCGCTAAAGTCCAGCGAGTATGTTAAATACCTATATATATTTATATCAACTGTTAATGGTTGAAAGCTAGAGGCAAGACACTACATGTTTTACTGTTCTTAATTTTGTTTTGCTACTATGTACCTCTATTATTGTATCTAGTATTGTAGAACTGTGTTTGTTAAACGTAATAAAGTTTATTCTATGTGTGGCAGTTCGTTTTTCTTTATTACTTGTCTATGTCCGATTATCCGTATTTTCGATTATCCGAATCGACCCCGATCCCAATTAATTCGGATAATCGGCGTCCTACTGTATATATATATATATGCTGTGGCGGACTTTTTTGTATTACTATTTAAGAGATACATTTTTACCTTATTATATTCATGTAACTCTTGTGGTTTTTATAGCGCCGGCCGGCCAAAATGGCTCGCAGAAGGGAGATTTTTTCCGACTTACATGACACTTGTTATTATTTGGTCAATTTACTGAATAGCTTAAATATTATAATCTAGATATTATTATTATGTATGAGCTATATTATTGTAAAGTTTCATTAAAATCCATTCAGAACTTTTTGCGCGAAAGAGTAAAAGAGATCCATACAAACGTAAGATTGATATTAAAAGCGCAAGTGGTTGATATACAACTTAAAATGGTTGTAGATCCTAAACAGTCGCAAAAATGAAAACGATGTAAGAATCCTAAACATGATTTTCAATTATCTAGACAATGATACTAAACTCGACATATTTTGTCAACGTTTTTTTTTCTTTCTTACAATATGGCGCTTAATTTTCCCCATACTCAATTTCGATAAATATCATGTCTATAGTAGCACTCCCATGATTAAGACGAATCGATTGATCGAATTGACGATTGAATCATCAAAATCGGTCTACGCTTTTGGTCTCTAGTGTGCCACAAAGGAACATACATACATATATAGACTGTTAAACACATTACCCCGTCTGCGAGTCGCGCTTCGCGCTCTTACATTGCGCAGTCGGGTAACAAATTAACTAACGGAAGGCACAACTGTTGACTCAAAAAGCAAGCCTTTCTCAATCCTAGGTACTGCACCTGACTGGACTATTTTAATGGATACTTACGAAAAGCACTTTACAAGTACCAGAGGATATTGTGTTTTGTCATCCAGGCCGGACATATTTCTCTTTTCTAGGCACATAAATATATAATACTAGCTTACTGTACCGTGGGAAACTATATGAATTATGAATATTGCGATCTATCGAACAAACTAAAAATGGCTATCTAGTTGATTTATATGCAATAGGAGCGAGATGTAAATCAGCAAAATCTCTCTTTAACCTTCTAAAAGACCTCGGCCTGTCGAGAACTGCAGTAAGTTCAATTTTGGAATGAGTAACAAGGCTGCACTAACAGGCTCCTGTCAAAGGAGATTGCTCAGCTTCCATACATGTTTGGCCTAAAGACCAATAATCATGAAAAATTGTTTCCTAGATTCGAAATAATGCATAAATTACTGTAGAAACGAATATTATTGACGGACACCCCTGAGAACTTCTATAAACCATAAACACTGAACATATTAAAATAATAAAAAACAAATAAGTTATATAGTAAACTAGGGAAATCAAGCCAAGTACCGAAATTATGGATTAGATTCAGGTATATAGAGCATGTAGATTAACAGATAGTTGCCTGTTTTTAACGTTAATGCATAAGAGTAACTTTGAAAATCAGGTGTCATTTCCGGTTATAATAAGGTACTTTGTGACAGAAACTGTGTGATGATTGTGAATGAGCCACAGATTAGAGAGAATTTTTAAACTCTCGTTAACCAAAGGAAGCTAAGAGATTTAGGTTCTATAGCCATATATTCAGTAGCTTCATTATTTTTGTTATATTTTTAAAATAACTATATTTTAGATTTTTAGTGTATCACACCTTATAATTTTATTTATTTATTTACCTTTATATATACAGATTATAATGTGGTTATGGAGGTGTTTGGCGAAAAATGTATGACAATAGACTTTATGATGTCGCCTACCATCTATAATAATTGTCTGAGGACATTTGCATCTAGTGAAAATGATAATATAGTTGTGGATATTAATACCACAGTGTAATAAAAAAAATGATTTATTTTATCGATCTTTACAAAATAGATTTGTTTTTATGTTATATAAACAACTTCGATCAGTCTGGCTGAATTACTACACCCATAGCCATTCAAATTAAAAGTCCTTTTTAAAGTAAATATATTATACAAAGGTGTCCGTTGAAATCTAATGACTTTAAATTAAATTATAAATTACGCCAAGAATTACCGTGTATGTCAATATTTTTTGTGCATTTGGGCCAATTCGAGCAATCTCCTTTGGCTAAGAAGGCCGGGCAACTCGAGCAGTGAAGGTGAGCGTTGATGCGCATCTTATAAAGGGGGCTACCTTAAACCTACATCTGGGTGGCAAGTCCCGGGAACTACTAGAGTTTACCCACTCTCCCACACGATGGATCAGGCACGGTGAATCCATGGATTGCTAAGAAGTTCTCTCTCTATTGTTTTAGATAATGAAGATGACAGTATGGGTCAGGATTCTGATGATTTAACAGAAGAATGTCAACAAAATACAGATATTGCTGGTAATGAAGAAGATGACGACGATGAAGTTGTAAAAGCGATTAAAGCCGAAAAGACCAAACTTCGAGACCATCCTCCTTCAATTAGTTGTGATGACTTTATTGTTGATATTTCCTTTAGTCCTGTAAAAAACCTAATAGCACTGGCTAATATTGTTGGAGACGTTTTATTGTATGAATATAATAATGAAGAAACTAAGTTAATCGAGACTCACGAATTGCACTTAAAAGCTTGCAGAGCTGTTGAGTTTAATGAAGATGGCTGTACTATGTACACAACATCAAAAGTATTTCCTATTTTATTATTTTTATACTTGTTTTTGACTTTTCAGTGCGTGTTAATTTTCGTACTATTTTGTTTTTCTATTTTCAAGTGATTTTATGTGGTTTAGGTAGTAACACTATTGATCAACATTTCCTTCCTTGATCAATGAAAACAAGAGTGCCGCAATGATCCATTAGTCGGCGAACTGCACTGACTTGTAGTGTAACACACAAAGAGATTAGCGAAAAAACTGACAGCCTGGTGAAGGACGCGGCGTTCGCCGCAAATGATACATTACAATCTAATGTTGAGCTGATTTGTGCGGTTTGTTAGTAATGTACCATTTGAGGCGATCTTGTTACATAAGGCTGGAAACTGACTTGTTCTGTTTGTTTGTAGTACGAGATATATATATACCTCGTATCATGTATAGAGACTGCTAAATCTCATACGTTGGGCAACCCTGCGCGACTCGGCCACGCCTGCGACAACACAGGTAGTCGGAGAGCACCTTAACGTTACAAGTCAGTATTCAGCTATAGAAGCATTAATACCTACGAGTTCAGATCACAGTACAAAAATCTACGAGTAACGTTTCATTTTTGTTTCGGCTGAGATAAATTTAGTTTATTTTCTGAAATTACACAGAATCGTCCAAAGGTACGTACTTTCATTTCTATTAGGTATATCTATATAAAAATCAATTGTTCGCTTGTCGCGCTAAAAATCGAGAACTGCTGGGCCAATATAGCTGATTTTGGGTGTGAAATGTTTGTCGTAGTCCAGGGAAGGTTTAACCTTTCCTTTTACGTTCACCTGGATATTCACAAGGACGTTGCTTCAATTCCAGTTCTGGAATACCTGGGCATAGGTAAAACGTTTTTATTGCACCACTCTATTACTTTTCATTTATTACTGGTCTTGTAAAACCTTGTTATTATGAAAGTAATTAATACCAACAACATCAATATATGTATTATAAATACCTAGTTTAAATTTACTGAAGCAAATTTTTTGTAGGCAGAAGAAGGCTTTTGATTTGAAAATGAAGCAGTAAAATGCTTAAAAATAATAAGTTTTCTCAAAAAATAAATATAGATATTACTTTTCCAGGATAGAACTATCATGGTAACTGATGTGGAAACTGGAAAATTGAAGAAATGTTACGACAATGCACACCAAGAACCAGTGTATTCTCTCCTAAGTTTAGATAATGACAAAATTGTAACAGGTAACTAAATTTCTTATATTTATTATTATTTTGTTACAATTCACACATCATCATCATCATCATCATCATTAGCCTAATAATGTCACTAACGGTAGATACGGCCCATCCTTATGGATGGACTAGCGGCCGCCTAGATATCTTCGGTTATAATTCAATATCGTTTATTTAGTCTAGGCTGTAACAAGCACTTGTGAATGTTGAAAAGCTACGCCATCGATTCTACGGCGGGAGACCTTGTACTGAGAAGAACCGACAGGGCTGTTTTTTTCTCTCAGTCGTCTCATTGAAGAATTACTTTAATATAAATGATATAAAATTTTTGACTTTACAATAAAAAAAAAGCCATTTAGCAAAGTTTAAGAATGCTGTGTCCCACTGTTTACGCATAAAAAATGTACGATTAAAGTTAACTGGAGTAGGACACATTCATGTAATTACCTAAACACTATTAAGTCTTTAGCAGAGAAATAATAAATGTTTATCTAAATTTTGATTGCTGTGTCATACAGTATAAATACAAATTGTGTTATTAATATTAAATTATCATTACAATAATATAGTAGTATAGTCTCATTTCCGCTGGCAGCACCCGTTCGCGAGCATGACGCATGAACCAGCCATCGCTTTGCTCAACCATATTTTGGGGAACACAACGACACGCCTCACACGACACCGCCGAAGAGATTTATAAGAGAACATGACTACCCATAACCTCTCAAACCAAATTGCAAAATATTCACTTAGTATTAAGGTCATTTATCTGTACGTCACTGCAAACTATTACAAAAACAAAGGTGCAGTTACAACCATGCCGTTTTGTTATTTAAATATTCTTTAATAGTATAATAGCATTTCTTAAGTAAACAACTTTTAATGTGGCTTTTAAACTCATTAATGGGTAACTCAAGAATAACATAAGGATTTTTTTATAAAAATGTATAACTTAACACCCATTGACCCATAAAAGATCGGTAAACCTTCTGAAACTTATAGGGTGGCAATGCAAGCATGTTTCTATTCCTCGTGTTAAAATTGTGCAAGTTACTGTGTTTGGTATACAAATTGATATTATTTTTAACGAGAAGTATGCAATTGTAAATTAATTGAGAAGCAACAGTCAAAATTCCAAAATCAAAAATTCACTAAAAAAAAGTGCAAATCGTAGTTGGTCCGATCACGATTCCGGTCCTGCCTATTTGCTAATTTTGACATTTACAGTGTGTAACTAAATAGAAAATTGCTTATCCATTTTTTCGGCGTTTCAAAGCCTTCTATTTTTTGTTAACTTTTCTCATGCTTTTGTTTATCGTCTTTTAAAGTGAGTGAAGTGTTTTTTATCATTTCAGGTGATGACGGCGGTACCGTAAAATTATGGGACATGAGAAAACCTGATCCCATTTTTAGTATAAAAGTAGGTGAAGAATATGTATCTGATATGGTGACAAATGAAGCACAAAAGTATTTGGTCTGTTCTGGGGGCGATGGCGTACTGACTACAGTTGATTTAAAAGCCAGGTATACACCCCGGCAAACTTCATGAATATCTACCATAGACAAGGAAACCTGCGTAGTAGCAATTTTACATTAAAAACGTCTACTGATCAAGTTTATTTGGCTGTGGTTTTGCTCAAGAAATTTGCCGCTCCTTAACTAACCGTCGTATTTATAAACAAGGAATTCTTCAATGAAACATATGGTTACTATTTCTAAGCAACGAAAATACTGTAAGATTATAATCTATCTCGCGAGATTTTAAACTGTCGAAAGATAGTGAACAGTAGCATATTGCTTACAATTAAACGCATTAATTTTCGATAGATTATAATCTATAAAAGTAATCCCATCAAAACATAACTTGTAAAAAAACCAAGTCTCGTAACACAGTTCTACTTCTCTTCAGTCAAAAGTTGTGAGATCCATGTTATGCCAAGTCGGTTAATTTATTCAGTCAAAGTATCTTCTGTCTTGAGCTATTACGAAATTAGCTCACCAGCAACATCTTATACTAACCATATCAATATTAAAAATCTTGTATGTTTTATATAAATAAATTGACTGGGATCACTTATAGTTTCGTTTCGTTCCGCAAACAGTGACAATACTTATAGTCGCAATGGTTTCGGAAATACTGTATGTGAATAACCACCCTTGCCCACACTGGGTTGTCCCATTACCTGGCGATAGTTCGTGTTTATTTCATTCCTTGTCTTTCTCTATGTATGGGAATATTGAGTCGTCATATGAGATTAGACTTGCTATAGTCGAGTATGTGATAGCGCATTGGGATGAGTTACAACTGTATACTTGTGACGAGCGCAGAGACACCTACATTAACGCTGATTTGTAAAAAACAACAAAATGGTAATGATGGTAAAACAACCTACCTATATATAACCTATGGTTCGGCGTCTGAACTTATGGCGGCCGCCGCTTTGTATCAGTATGCTTTCGAGGTTTACGAAATGTTTTAAATAAATAAATTGACTTGGCAATCGCATGCAACTGTTGTTGCTGAAGGTCAGCAACATGCCTAAAAAATGAAAATTATAACTATAATTGCTATTTCTTTCTTTTTCAATGTTTAATATTTGTATTCATTGCACAATGTGGGTTGCCTACAATGCGTTGCCTTGCAGCTTAAGAAAGGCTAGAAGGAATTCGACACGGTCATCCGGGCCGCGGTGGCATAATGGTCAGTACATTCGCCCGGATAGTGAAGGGCGTGGGTTCGAGTCCCGTCTGCTGCCTGGTCTACGTGGATTTTTTTCTAGTAATATGTTTTTTTGATTTAAACATTGAGCAATTACATTCTTAAAAAAATAACAATTATAGGTATCCAAAAATTAAAGCCACATGAAGTTCGATTAATTTCTGTTATATCTACCTAAGTATATCATAATTAATTTGTCTGTGACTATTAGCGAGCGATTATCTCCAGGAAGTGGCAACTTCACAAGTTATTCTAATTTATCTACTATTTTTTCTTTTTCAGTAAAATCTACATCACGTCGGAGGATTATGACTCCGAACTAACATGTATGGGCTTATTTCGATCAGAATCAAAGTTACTCGTTGGATCGTCTGCAGGAAAGTTGTATTTATTTAATTGGAAAGAGTTTGGATTCCACAGTGATGAATTTATTGGTCAAAAACATGCCATACAATGCATGTTGCCTATTACTCAGAATATCGTTATAACTTCTGGAGAAGATGGAATTCTCAGAGCTGCTCATATGTTTCCACAACGCCAGCTCGGTATCGTTGGTCAACATCGAATGCCCGTTGAAGTTCTTGATATAAGTTATGATGGACAGTATATTGCTTCTTGCTCACATGATAATGATGTAAAGTTTTGGAATATATCTTATTTCGAATCGATTGAAAACATCATAGACGTTAATCAAAAACAAAATAAGAAAAAAGACTTGATTAATAATTTACCGTCAAGTACAGTCAAAAATGCTTCTGACTTTTTTTCTGGTTTAGTGTAAATCTCTTTTTCAGGATTGATTAAAATTATTATAAAAACAGCCTGGAGTCACGCACATTTAAACACTTTTAAGGTGTTAATATACTGGCATATTATGCAAGAGCGGTTGTTTACTGACACGATCAATTTATTGTCTACATCTATTTTTCCTATGCTAAGTTACTGAAATAAACAATATTTTGTACCTTGTATTTTTGTGTGAATCAAAGTTAGGAGAATAGAGGCAAAGTATTTAAATCCCTTGTGGCGGCGACATCTATATGCCCCACATATATACAACGGATGGAGGAAATCATTACTTACCATCCTCAATAGATGGCGTTACCTGCACTGCGATCTTAATAGTATGGAAGCCTACATCGCGCAAATGAAATTCGGAGGCTAACTCTTCATATATACGATGCCCGAACAACATCAGTCGGGCCGCGGCCCCCTAGCTACTATCACCCAGCTCGGAGCAAGATCTTCCCCTTTGGACTTTCTACACCCTGTTCCGTTATTAACGCTTACGAATTGAAAAAAAGTTAAGCAGCGCTTCCGAAACCTATTTTAAAAACCGAAAAATTATCTCAATATTCAAAGCCAGCTCCGACTTATCTTTCTTTGAGTTCGGATTCTTTACCACTGCTATTAACTATGTTAATGTGTTTTTACTTCACACAGGATAATATTATGTATGAAGTAACTTAAAAAGAAATAAAAGATCATGATTATGTTAAATAATTTATTAAAGATCTTCATGTTTTGGTTTTTTTCGATGTGGATAAGCCCAAAATTCTGATGGCAAACCTCTTACATCTCTATCTCTTTTAACAAATGCTGAATATGAGGAAACACAATTACCTATAAAATGATTGGCTTGTCCAAGTATGGCCAAGTCTAAATGTGGATTTGATGGTTGAAATTTGATTACAGACACTTCCAAGTTCTCTAAAGCTTTATTTAAATCTTCAATCATGTGATTAGAGTCGGAAGCCACGAAAACGTACTTAATGCTGTTAATCTTTTTGACAGCTCTCTTTACTTGTCTGAAAAGACATTATCATATATTCAATAAATCTCAATCAATAATACAATATCATGCAAAGCTACAGAATAAGAGTCTTATTCTTGTAAGGGAGCGAAGGATAAGAATGCTTCTTTACATCGACGGTTACGAATTTGGACAATCCCTTTTTTGCAAAAGCACTGGAATTACCGTTAGTTAGGTTAGATTATCAGCACAAAAGGGGAGCCGGAGATATGCATCCAAAAAAAATTTTGCCACTGTCGCTTGACTATAATGTGTATGAAAAACGTGCGTGCAGATTTCTATTACTACTTAAATAGTTTGCGAGCCAGTCCCTTATCAAAAAGAATATACTTGATGCTTTCACACGGCTTTTTGTATTTGCTATTTATTTGAGAAGTCTTATATATTTTTTTCATTAACAAAATATAGTTTACTTACTTTATTACTGCAGTTTTTGTCGGCAAACACATTGATACGGTGAGAGGTCCTTTTTCGTTTTTATAACCAACACATTGAGGGGCAGCAAATAACATAGGGCTGTCATTCACATGCTGACAAGCTTTTGCCCAATCTTGCCCGTTTCTTAGGTGAATTCCAAGGAATCCACCACCTCTCATATTTTCCTTAATAAATTGCTTTGATTTGTTTATTATATCATCATTCCAATTGAGATACTTCTGTAAATGTATGTTTTCCTTTTGAACTGGAAAACTAGCCGGAGCACCTGAAATTGAGATTACTTTATGTTGTTTATTCATTTTTTTCATTATATCATGTTCATTCACAATAATATTAATATTCATTCACTTCCATGAGTACACTCGATAATATTTTTTTCTATTTCATATCCCATACATTTTGGTGCTATGAATGTGCATAAAGACTAGCAAATTTTTTTTTTTATCTATTCTATTGAGAACTCTTATTCATTACCTGTGAAAGCTAGCACTGGCCAAGTGTCTGCAGGATATTTTTGTTTCCATCTATTCACCATATTGTTATCATGAGAATCATAATTTAAAGGACCATAAAATTCAGATTTTACAAAATCTATATCGAAATTATCCCAAAATGGACCGAATGGATTACCAGATTTAGCATTACAACTATTTTGTTCTTCGCCAATTCTTTGTGTATAACAAAATGATATCCTTTTGGAATAGGGCCATATTTGATGTGCAGTATTAAACATAAAAGACTCCATTGTAATGATTTTATGATATTGTGCTAAGGAGTCAGTTCTAAAATATGTGTTGAACGGAATTTGCTTTGATCTTGGTTCTCCATACCTATATTCAATCCAAGGTGGAAGTACTAGAGTTCTATTTAGCGCTTTACTGAATGCTAGTACTCCTAAAAAGTGGTCTGCTTGATTACCAAAACGACCTAAAACAAAATAAAAATCTATTAACGTCTGCGTGGCTTTAAATTGTAATCACGTAATGACGCTGCCTTGCAGCTTAAGAATGGCTAGAAGAATTTCGACGCGGCTGTCAGGACCGCGGCAGCATAATTGGTCAGTGCATTTGCCCGGATAGCGAAGGGTGCGGGTTCGAGTCCCGTCTGCTACCTGGTCCGCGTGAATTTTTTTCTAATTATATTTTCTTTAGATTTAAACATCAAGCATTTACATGCTTAAAAAAATATAATTGTAATCCTTTTCCTTTTTTTCTTTGTAACTAACTACGCGGCGATGTTTTGTGTGATGTGAATCAAATGATGTACCTATCAAATGTTTAAAGCCCGTCACAGACGTAGCTATAATATATCGAAATATATATTATATTATAACAAACTACCACAGACGGGAGCTGTACTATAATATATATTATTATATTTTGCCTCACTCGGTCTGCGGTTGTACTGTACCGTAATATACCGAAATATATCTATCGTCATATTTTGGTGACGTCATCTACTATATAAAAATAAGTCGGGTTTTCCTTCCTGACGCTGTAACTCCAGAACGCACGAACCGATTTCCACGGTTTTGCATTCGTTGGAAAGGTCTCGGGCTCCGTGAGGTTTATAGCAAAGAAAATTCAGGAAAAATTTCAAAAAAAAAATTCTTCTTTTAATCACCAAACGAAATGTTACATAAAACGAAGCCATCTGATGCGAAACGGAGTTCGCCTGGTTTGCTAGTAGAAATATATATTATAGCTGCGTGTGCGGTCACTCGAAAATTTATATTGAAAATATGTTGTAATATGTCTTGCTGTGATTCATATTAATATATAATATAGCTACGTCTGTGACGGGCTTTAACATCCATTCGGAAATAATCTGCGATTTGTTTTTCATATTCTCGCAGTTTGTTGTATAGCTTAAGAAATTCACCAAACTCTTCTCGCCGTACTACATGCTAAGATGAAACCAAAATGTTCTACATTTCTTTCGGTACAAGTATTAAGCAATCATAATTTTATTCTTCTTAGTCAAATCAAATATCCCATAACGAATACGTGTGATTTTAAGAAATATCAAGATCAACTGCATAGAATCGAGTTAGCAGTGGCGGGGCCACCAGGCGGTGACCGCGCGGCCGCCGCGCTGTCGCCGTACTAGAGGTGTAAAAGTAACGAAAAAAAGCGTACCCGTATGTATTCGTTACTTTAACAATTAGTACTCGTTGCTACAGTATCGTTACGTTACTCGTTACTTCTCATAAAAAAATCGGTTTTACTATTTTGAAATTTTTAACCGTGAGCTTATGTTATATCACAATAACATCGCAATCCATTAATTATCAATTATAATGATAAAGCAACAAATAGGTATCGAAAATTATTTTATTTATAATAATACTTAAATAGCATTCTAACGATAAATCAACATAAATATATAGTTTGTCTATAAAGTCGTGACATTAAATGATGGCGCCACTACTATGCATGTAGCAACCCTATACAGTCGGACCAAAATGATTTTGATACTAGCAGTTCCTTCAAGTAAAATAGGTAAGTAATAAGACACACTATACAGTCGTATTTTGTTTCTGTTTTATATATAGTAGGTACCTATGCTTAAGTTAAAGTTTAGCCAAGCATATTTAATTGAATCAGAATAAAATTATTATAGATAAAATAGTACTTTATAGTGTAATGTTGGTGATTACCGCTGAGGTGCCATTGAGACCAGAGCCGTTAGGTAATCCTCAATACACACAAGTATCATCATACGACGTTTTTTAACACACTTGTTAAGAAAATAATACTAAAAATCATTTTATAGTACATAAAAAGTTTATTTAGAGAAACAATTGGTAAACGTGCAGTGATAGGTATCTTCACTAAAAGCATCTGGCCATGGTTCTTTATGTGACCATTTCTTTCTTTGGTCGGCCTTGCCTGTTTTCCCAGGAGTTTCAAACTTTCCATTATTCTTAAAACCTTCGTTGACTATCCGACTCTCTGATTTTCCTGAAAAAAGGTAAAAAAATATTTAACGGAATAGAAACAACAACTTATTGACATGAAGCAATTAATTCAAAATTGGTAGAAAACCTGACCGAGTTGAACCATAATAACGTATCAAAAGAAATGGTCGTACTACAATATTACCTATTTACAATGTCAATCTAACCTAAAAATGTGCAGTGTAAACAATGCCTTTTTTGGTCTTAAAATCGTAAATTGAGTAAATTTGTAACTTCAGGCAGAATACAAACAAATAGCTACACGATTACATACCCGTCATAGATGCTATTCGCCCATAAACATCATCCAAATCCCACAAAATTCGTCCAGCTTGGTAGTCTTCGAAACATCGCTGGCAAACTAAAAATCACTTCCCGCGTGCCACTCCGATTTACTTTACTCATTTTTATACCTTTCTGCGTAGTTTCGTCTTAATTTATTACAGTTTAATCCAAACAATAAAAAATACAAAAGGAAAACTGTTCCACAACTGAAACTCGATGACAGCTGATGTACATAAGTTTGGTGTTGCCAGACACATGAATAATGTTAGTTCCCCAAACATTCAAGTCACGACTTTATAGACAAACTGTAGTTTTGTTTGCTTAGAATGAAATTAAACATAACGAAAGAAAGAACTACAACAAAAATCTTTTGTTCTCAAAATAAAATTATAAAAAATAAAAATATTTTAAACGAAATCTATCAAGTTGGCTTTTTCGATAAGCTTCAGTCAACACGACGATAAAGTTCTCACGTCCATTTGACCGGAATAGCGTATATTTTAACGATTCCACTAATTCTTCTGTTACGCAGACGGTTGTAACACAAAATCACACCAATTTTATTTCACAATATCCACTATGAACGAATTTAAGAATAAATAAAATAAGACGCCAACCGCACTCGATGAAATCCCGCCAAAATCTCCAACGTACGTTTTTAAATTCTCCGAATATGCTCGCGCATGCTTAAAACGTAGGATCAGTAAATGTTTCTATACCTTAGATTAAAACAAAAAGGGTAGATACGGTACGCTCATACTTGCATCAAACAAAAACTGATCCCACGGCAGCGCGAACGGGACGGCGAGATCCGCGTCACTGCATTACCGACCCGAATGAAATAGTGCGTTAAGTTTCAACGGCAGCGCGAACGAGACGGCGAGATCCGCGTCACTGCACTACCGACCAATCACGCGACCAGTACTCGACGTTACTACCGAATAAGATTCAAAACAAACAGCAATTTTTATGAAAAAATATATTTTATAGTACTTACGAATGAAAAGTGATGCCGTGGGTTTTATTTTTAGTTTTTGAGCACTTTTTAAAAACACACTTAGGCATTGTTTTATCATATAAACACAAAATATTAGCAATATTTCTTTTTGGCGTTCACATGTACGTCGTTTGCATGTCAAGTTGTGACTAAAGCGATTAAGGTCGTGGACCACAATTTATGCGGATCACTTTTGTGAGGCTAGTGCCGTATCTACCCTTTTTGTTTTAATCTAAGTTCTATACACACATCAACTGTACTTGCGTAAACTGAAACATATAGATATAGTCATACCAAAGTCATACTACGAAAAATGCGAGTAACGAAATTTATTTGTGTGTAACGTTTCGTTACTCGGTACTAGATGGCGCACCCGTTACTCAGTACCGAATACATACGGTTTGCTTCAGCTCTACGCCGCACGGTGGAATATGGTAGAACAAACGCATATCAAAATTGATTTTTATTACTGATTGAAATTGGGTAATATATGAATATAATTTAATAGTTCAAAAGTCGAAGTTTAATATTCTGCAGCGTAATTCATATTTTATTTCGTAAAAGTATTTTTTTTCATGTAGCAAAGTTAAACGTTTAGGCAGCTGGGAAATATTATGTTCTTCATTTACGTTTTTCAACGTGAAATAGTTTTAAAACTTGAAATGAAAGGTACAAGGTATTATATATTTTTGAAAAGCACATTTATCAGAGGTTAGAAATAAATACAATTGATTGTTTTTAATACGAATATAAATTTAAAAACCAATTTAAAGAAAAAATGGAGAAATATTTTTTTTTCCTCAACTTCGTCGAATCTTTTAACATTTAGAGTTGTTTACCGATGCTTTGAATTTAATGTTAAATTATAGGTTAGTTACTCATCTAAAACATATAAAAAAATTAGCTGCGGCTTTTTGCGGTTTTCGGAGATATGTGAAAAAATCGAATACTAGTCTGGGAACGGAAATCGCTATCAAATGCGGTTTCGTAGTTTACTTTTATTATCAATAGTTTGTGGTACATTTTATGAATTAATTATTTGATATTGTTATGTAGGTTTTATCATTTCGATGTCATTTTCCGTGAGAAAATAGATATCTGAAATAATTCCCACATTCTGAAACAATATAAAAAGGGCAGTGAAAAAATATGTCTCCATTACCGTTTCAGTGGTCTTTACGTCTACGTACTCTAGTAGGTACGGTTATTTCATTATTCAACATGTCTACTTTTAACTGTACTAAACGTGAGTTAATAGTGTCTTATATAGAAGGCGGAAAAACGACTGCGGCACTTTCAACATATTTGGAGGGAAAACAAATTTCGGATGTCAATATATGTTTTATTATTGACCATATTCGTTTAATAAACGCTGGAGTGAAGCAGGACGCAATAAAAATACCTTTTTAAGAAAGAACACCAATTGGTTGGATTCTGAATATTCGTTAACTATACCAACATCAGAAAACGTGTCAACAGACTCTACACCGTCTACTTCTTCTGGTAAACGAGGAAGACCGTGTGTGTCATATGGAGACTCTTCAGAATCAAGCAAAAAAAGAAAAAACACCATTTTGCTAAATGAATATGGTTTGGAGCACATTCTAAGCGCATATCTTCAAGGATTGCGTTCTATAGGAGAAGGAATTGAAGCAAAAGTTGTTGAAAAATTAAGGTTGGCTGATGCAGAGAAAAAGGTTTTCGTTATAAAGCAATTAGATGATGCAAAAATAATTAAAGGGCTTACAGATGAAGAAGCATTAAGTGTCTTCATCGACTTGGAACTAACAAAGGCACAATATCTGTATCTCAGGAACGTTACAGATGAAAGAAACTGTTCTTTATTTCCACCATACTATAAAATACAGGAAATGAAACAGAGGTGCTATCCACCATCATCAACAATCGAAATCACAAATACTTATGCAAAAATATTGAGAGTTCAAGATCTATTGGATCACACTGCAGCTCGAATTTTATCAATAGATAAGGTTTACAAGAATGGACAAAAACATTTACTATTGTATAGCAAATGGGGTTGTGATGGGTCATCTGGACAAAGCCAGTACAAGCAAGCACTACCAGAGGAGTCTGAACTTATTTCCGATGCAAATTTATTTATTACTTCTTTTGTGCCTATCAGATTAACTGACGTGGAATCAGGCGCCATCACATGGCAAAATCCAGTGCCTTCATCTGTTCCTTTCTGTCGGCCTATATCTATAGAATTTTGCAAAGAAACGCCAGAAAAAACTAAATCGGTTGTAGATGAAATAAAAAATCAAATACAAACTTTGCTTCCATCAATAATTAATATAGAAGGCGTGGGAGTCCAAGTCAAGCATGAACTTTTTTTGACGATGATAGACGGAAAAGTGGCACAAGTTTTAACAGATACGCCTTCTAGTTCCACATGTACAATATGCGGAGCAACTCCTAGACAAATGAATGATTTAACGAAAGTAATAGCTAGGCCTGAAAATGAAAATGCTTATCAATACGGATTATCCACATTACATGTCTGGATTCGTTGCATGGAAATGATATTACACATATCATATAATCTATCTTTCCAAACGTGGTCTGCTACAAGCGAAGAAAAAAAAGACTCAAACAAGAAAAAAAGGCTGAAGTACAAAAGCGATTTCGTGAAGAGTTGGGTCTAAATATCGATAAACCACGACAGGGGACGGGAAATAGTAATGATGGCAATACTGCTAGGAGATTTTTTTACAATGCTGCCTGTTCTGCTGATATCACAGGGATTGACATTGATTTAATTAAACGGTTATATATAATTTTGCAGGCTTTGTCATCTGGTATAGTGGTAGATAGTAAGAAATTTGGTAATTATGCTCTGGAAACTGCAAGAATATACGTGAGTAAATATAGTTGGTATTACATGCCATCATCTGTCCACAAAATTTTAATTCACGGAGAGAGTATCATAAACCATTTCGCGGTATTACCAATTGGGCAACTTTCAGAAGATGCTCAAGAATCTCGCAATAAGGACTAAAAAATTTCGCTTCCACCATGCTCGGAAATGCTCTCGAATAGCTACAAACGAAGATGTGTTTAATACACTACTTTACACTTCAGATCCATATATAACGAGCATAAGAAAACCATATGCAAAAAATGTAAAGGAGCTCGATGAAGATACTTTACACCTTCTCAAGGTTAATGAACTTATTTCAGATCCTGAAGCTCACCGGGTGTTAGATGTCAATCTTGCTGAGCAAAAAAAAAAGAAATATATATTGCGATAATTTTGATTTGTTTCTGTATGTTAGCGTAGTGTTAATAATATTTTACCATTTTTAATTTTATATTATCAATATAATATGATAGTTATCTTAATAGAGTAATAAGCATTAAGAAATAGACGTACTATATGTTTCTAAAAAATATTTCAATAAATAAATAATACTAATAATACTATTTTAAATCATTTTGTGACTTTTCTTTTTTAATTTAAAAATATACGCATAATTCCAATTCATCAAACATTACTTATATGAATCCTTATGTATCACTTTATATTATAGCAAAATTTTATAAGTCTATCTTTCAAATTGACGGAGTTACAGATTTTTAATCCGAAACACACCGAAATATTCCACAGTGCGCCGTACTGACACCGCGCGGCCGCCAAGCTGTGACATTCTGTGTCATATAAACGCGCCCTAAGTGTTCCAGTCGAAATTAACCAGGGTGATTGGTGACAAAGCTGAATTGTAACGCCAAATTCGAATTTCTTCAGTAATTGTTAGTGTTTTAAAATTTTACTACCCAATGTAAAGCAGACACAAACCAATGTAACTATTAAGGATAGGAGTATATGGACCTGGTGGACACTACAGTATTCTTGGCATTACACTAAATTCGAAACTTCAGTAGGCCCGCACACAACGATAATTAATACCCAACACGAACAGAATCGTAGCCGAAACCTGTCCAAAAGGTACATTTGACGATGCATGGAGCTCCGTGTGGGTGTTTCTACCTTTCCGTCCACGTCTGTATCCGTGTATCTAGGGTATTTAATATTGTTGTCCAGGCCGGACATATTCCTCTTTTCTAGACACTCAAACATATACATAGTACTAATTGAGCTTACTACATCCTACACTTTGATCTTAGCCAAAAGGCCGAGAAGCGATATCCAGGGAAACTAACATTCCAAAAGATCACACAATAAAATTGAATGAATATTACATTCTAAATAAAGAACTTACCTACTAAAAATGGCTAGTTAATCTAGTTAATTTTTATGAGGTAGAAGTTGGAGAGAGAGGTATACCAGTAAAATATCCTATAACCTTCTAAAAGACCTTGGCCTATTAAGAACTGCAGTTAGTTCATTTTTGGAACAAGTAATTATGGCTGCAATAACAGGCTCTTAACAAATTTGGCTAGGAAGGGCAGAAAACTCAAGCAGTGAAGGTGAGGGTTGATGCGTATCTCATAGGGGGTCTCGTTAAATCTATGCCTAGGTCATAAGTCCTGAGAACTGCTCAGTTTCTCTCTCCTGCACGCAGTATCCAGCACATGCACAGTGAATCCATGGATTCCTAAGAAGTATGTCTCTTTAGACTATTTGTTTTAGTATTTCTCGGGTTTGGTTTTGCATCTCTATTTTTAATCCAGGCTCAGGTTTCCATTAGCTGTGGTTGAGAAGGGAGCTGAAATTTTTGTCACGCAAAGTATTAATTATTAGAAACACATACACGAAATCTTTTTAGGCGGAAATGAATAGGGCTCTAGAAAAAAATATTGAAAATTAATATATTTGTAGGTTAAAATCAATTTTGACAGCCATTTTCATCAGTGCTGCGTCTCTCTCGTTGTGTTTGGTAAAAATATGTTGATTAAGTTAGTACTATTATCAAATTGACAGAGATACCGTAATTTTGTGTTTGTTTTGAGATCCGTCAGGCAGTCTGTGTTCGTCGTTAAAATTATATTTGCTATTATTTACTTGGTAAATAAAAAATGGTATGGGCTTAACACTTAGAAAAAAAGGTAAATGTGGCTTTATTTTAATCTTTAATTAAGAACCGACTTGGTCAACCCTGACATGCCGTGGTCTTGGTCTGCCCTACCCCTAGAGTGTTTTTAGAGACCGGAAGCGAAGGTGTGAAGGAGAGTGACACTTGTGACTTTGTCACGCAAAGGCAGAGGGGTTGCTATTCCCGCAGCGCCAGAGATAAGGCAGAAGTGCTGTTTCTTACTTCCCTAGTCATTGTATCCTAAAAAAGGTTAGGTTAATTTAAAAAAAAAACCAAAGTCGGGGAGACCCCCCCCCCCCCCCCTCCACATCAAAACAACTCCGAAATTCAACCACAGCTAATGGAACTAAGTACCATCTAATTGTCCAATACACTGTCGTAAAATTTAGGTTTGGGTTGGAGAGTCATGCTAGAATTGACACCAAACACCAATGTATGTATAGAATGATTGAAACTTAATTTAAATTGTGCAATTGTATAATAATGTATTTTAAATAGATAATAACCCTCTGAAGTTGCTGTGCCCTTGCAAGGTGTCACATGGTTACTGTATTTTTTCTGTACTTCCTTATTTCTGTAAATAAATGAATAAAGATACTGAGAACTTTAGAAAATGTTAAAAAATTAACCTAGTTGTGTAAGAAAATCTACTTAGGATTTGGCATAAGAAATTGCATGACTACCATAACATTTCTTTTTCAGTGTGTACTTCGGTGGCACGCTGGGATTATGCTTTTGAGTAGTATATCCGAACCAAGAAAATTTTATATTGGTAGGTGATAAGTCCACGGCACCTGGGACTTACAGTAGCGAGTAAGAGGCGAGTTAATGCAATAAAACTTACCCATACATGGACAGTACAATACATAACCTTCCACATCATAACTAACATCGGCTTTTACAGCAATAAGAAGTATATAAAAGAAGAATAACGAATAAACCATCTTAACTAGTAAAAACTTTTCTAATCATCCAATTCGCGCGTACTTTCCTTGTATGTCTTACACAAAAACATAAAAATGAAATTACTTCAACGTAAATAAACAAACTACATGGATCCAAAGATACTTTTTTTTTTGTTGAAGTTCTCCCGTTTTAGGGAAGGCAAAGGGAACAATGCCCATACAGCCTAGTCTTTAATTAAATTAATCTTCTTTTTTTTTCTTGCATTCTAATGTTTCTTGGAGTGTTTGGCACGAAATGAATCGAGTTGGCTTTTTCTATAAGCTTCTGTGAGGTAGTCAACACTACAATAAAATTCTCACGTCCACTTGACCGGAATAGCGTATATTTTAACGATTCCACTAATTCTTCAGTTACGCAGACGGTTGTTACACAAAACCACACCAATTTTATTTCACAATATCCACTATGAACGAATTTAAGAATAATTAAAATAAGACGCCAACCGCACTCGATGAAATCCCGCCAAAAAAAAAAACCAGATACTTTTTTTTATTTTTTTCATTTGTTGTTGTTTGTTTGTTGAAGTTCTCCAGTTTTAGGGAAGGCAAAGGGAACAGTGCCCATACAGCCTAGTCTTAAATTTATCTTCTTTTGGTTTTTACATTAGAATGTCAGTGTGACGCATTCTAATGTTTCTTGGAGTGTTTGGCACGAAATGTATCGAGTTGGCTTTTTCGATAAGCTTCTGTGAGGTAGTCAACACTACAATAAAATTCTCACGTCCACTTGACCGGAATAGCGTATATTTTAATGATTCCACTAATTCTTCAGTTACGCAGACAGTTGTTACAAAAAACCACACCAAATTTATTTCACAATATCCACTATGAACGAATTTAAGAATAATTAAAATAAGACGCCAACCGCACTCGATGAAATCCCGCCAAAAAAGCCCCTTTTTTTTCAATGTTCCACCCTATGTCCACAGAGTACCATAATAAATCCGGAAAAATGGCTTTTTTATGATCTAGTTACAAAGACCTTTAGGTCATAACTTATTTTGAAAATGTTCATTACTTTGGAGTCACTACACTTCACTTCACAGAATTTTGTCATTTAAATTGTTGGAATTGTATTTTTTATGTAATTATAAATAGGTTTATAGGATGTTGGATCTTTTAGTAAAGCGTTGAGTGGCGGCAGGCGGGAGGAAGAAACACACTTAAATGCCATAACACTGAGTTCACTAGCCAACACAAGTCTTTGAATGAGGAAACTTTGGCAATCGAAAATCCTTCCTTCTTCTGCTTGACAGTGATTACATTGATTGTTTAAAACAATCCCAAGTCTTGCTAGATGTGACGGCGCAGTATTATGACCAAATCTCAATCTGTTTATATTCGTAATGAAATCACGACTTTCACTAGTTTTCAATTTGTCATCTCAGACCAAATGAAAAGTAAAGACGGAGTCTGCCGAATAGAGATGGAAAAAACGGCTTATTTCTTAAAAGCGTTTAAACGATGTACTTTTTAAAATAAGCGCGCTTGAAAAAAAGCTTTTTCGTTTAAGCGCTTATTGGCTTAAACGTTTAAAAGCATGCGTAAAAAGCGCGACGTTGTGTTGTGTTTTCGTTTAGGTATATCGTTTAAAAAAGCGTGAAAAGTTTATTGTCGTTTTTAATGTGTTTAAGTGTTTTATTGCGTTTTTTCTTCTTATCAATGAAATTTTTATTAAAAAGTTTTTTTAAACCTAATGAATTGATTGGCATTAAAAACGAAGGATTTTCAATTGAATTTAGATTTTATAATAAACATTTTTATAATAGTCAATGAACTTTCCTTCGAACTTTACAAGCTTAGGACTGTCTGGAGTTAATATACTCGTGATCCAGGCGTACTTAAAAGTTCATTGATTTATATACATACTTTCAACTATTTTATATGCACATTAAACCAATACACGAAACGCATTAACACAAGCAAGCATGCAAACACACCGTACAACACCCACGCGCTCTTACCCCGTCACAGTGACAAGCGTACTGCTTTTCGACTTCGTTTAATTAAACGCTTTTAACGAAAAAAGCGTTGGTTATCCGACCAAATTTTATAAAAGTGCATTTTTTTACGTCGCATTATAATAATTCGCATGCTGTATTAACCGGCTCACGAAAGATGGCACGCCAACGCGGCGCTGTAGTCGCGCGTTCTATGTCTGTGATATTGTGAAATATTTAGTTCCAAGGAATTCCGCGTACCCATTTTTCGATACTGTAGTGGACTGGAAGGATCGAAGTATGTAGTTTCCTGGCAAAGACATACATGGCGGGATTTGCACTTTTTAAGTAAAAAATATACTTGCACTTTTTTAAGTGAAAAGCTTACTCACACTTTTTAAGCGAAAAGCTTATAACGCTTAGGCCCTCCGCACATGGAGCTACTCAAATATGACGGAATTAATCAGTAATTAGAATTACAAACTAGTTATAAACTGTATTTCGCACACGACGCTACTCACATTGCAAGGTTTCAGTCACTCCTGTTATTTCTACTACCAAATAAACACGTGCAAAAAACCTAGCAAGGGGAAATATTGGAAGCAATAAAAATGTCGAGTGGATCGAGCGAAGATGACGATGTCATTATACTATATTATCATCATAACAGACGCCGAAGGAATCGACGCAGATTTTGGATTCACCCATATATCCAAAATAATGTGAACTGCAGATTGTCAGTTGCAGCACGAGAGCTGCGTGAAACAGATAATAAATTTGTGGGATTCTATAGAATGTCCAAAGATAGCTACGTACATTTGGTACAGTTAATAGCTCCTGCTATTTGTAAAAAAAATACTAACATGCGGGAGTGCGTGGGCGCAGAAGAAAGAATTTTAATAACGCTAAGGTAAGATTTCAATTTATTTATTAGTGATTCCAAGGCTCTGTCCACCCCCTTCTGGGGATCACGGACGAGAGTATATGAAGAAAGAAAGAAAGAAGAAAGAAAAAGTATTTATTGGCCAACACGCAAATACATTTGCATATGCATGTACCTATGTATTTAATTAGTAGCAAGGTTAACTGGCCTTGCTTCCACCCAACTTAGAATTTACCCCCTGGGAGCCCGGGTCTGGTACTTCAAATTAACATTCGATACAAAAAAACTTGCTATGTCAACAATTCATTAGATCAGCGGTTCCCTACACATTTAAATTAAACACTGATCTAATGAGTTGCTCACTATGCGATTTTGACATAACAAGTTTTGATCTACTGAATGTTGATTTGAAGTATCAGACCAGACCCGTGAAGCCCTTCTTTCATTGAAAAGAGACTTATACCCCTGTAGTGGGAACGTGGTAGTATGTTACAGTAATTACAAGTAAGTACCTACTATTAAAATAAAGAAACACCCTGATATACCACAAACCATACTTTATTATTAAAACCATATTTTAACCACCATTTGTATTAATAAGACTCGGTACTGATTCATAATATGTCAGGATTTGATTATATGCTGGTGTGACTCGCTGTCCATTTGGTACAGACTGCTCTTGCGTGGAAAGAGAAACGTGTTGTGTTTCAAAATTATATGCTGCCGTGGATTGCTGCTCATTTAATGAGGGCATTTCTTGTGTAGAAACAAATACGCTTTGTGTTTCCAAATTATATGATGATGTGGCTCGCTGTGATGGTGCCAAAGAAGGTCTCTGGGGTTCCTCTAAAATTTCGTCCACTAAAGCCAGCACTCGTCGCTTGATGGTTCTTGTTTGACTGTCGGACATTGCTTTCATGTCTGGCAGTAAGCTTAGAAGAAACATTCGCTTAGGGTCCTCTGTTTCTATAGTGTTTTTATCAAGTTTAGCCTTTCTGGCTTTAAAGTAGTCCATAATACCGTCATCGATTGTTGAAAATGATTTCCCTTTACGACGAGTAAAGCGGCTGTCAGTACTGGAAGCAGGTGGTCTGGATAAAGGGCATGACAAGGGCGACAGTGGTTGATTGGTTATAGGAGAAGATGCAGGCAAAGGGCATGACATGGGTGATGGATTGTTTTGGTATGGTGATGGCGTGCTTTGAGATGGTGATGTCATGTTTTGAGATGATAATGGGATGTTCTGATGTAATATGGATTGCGACTCATTTACTTCTTCGTTATCTTCTTGTTCCAACACTTCTTCTACTGCTTGCTGCGGGAGATTACCTGATACAGTATTATTCAGAGTTTTTATGAATGGAATGGTAAATTGCATCGCATCGGCCAAATAATAAGGTTTCTTGTTTTTTGATGAGGATCCACTTGGAGCTGGTTTTGTGTGCCGGACGAAAACTGCGCGCAAATTTTTCCATTTTTCTTTACATTGGCCCTCTGAAACAAAATTAACAACTTATTTTTTTGTTTCCAGGTACTTGGCAAGTGGCGATTCATTTGTGAACATCGGATACTATTTTGCTAGAGGAGATAATACAGTTGCACAGATAATCGCTGAAACTACAGTCATTATTTGGAATGTTCTAAAAGATATTTATATGCCAATCCCTAATGTAAGAAAATGGAAGAGTATATCAGAGCGTTATAGTTTGTTGTGGAATTTGCCTAATTGTATCGGTTCCTTAGATGGAAAACATATCCGAATAGAGAAATTCCCTAATTCAGGATCAAGTAATTTTAACTACAAGTCATTTCATTCTGTTGTCTTGATGGCATGTAGTGATGCGGACGGGTTATTTACATTAATTGAATGTGGCTACGCTGGGAGAAATAGTGATGGTGGAATATTTCATGCTTCAGCTATCAAACAATGGCTACAAAAAACTGCTAATATTCCCGCGCCTTCAAGATTACCAAACGACGAACATGAATTTCCCTACTATTTCGTAGGTGATGAGGCGTTTCCTTATTATTACGCTATCTGATGAGACCATATCCAAAACGAACTTTGAACAATATTAAAAGAGTGTTTAATTATAGACTGAGTCGAGGTAGAAAGACAATTGAATGTACATTTGGAATGATGGCTGAGAAATTTGCGTTCTAGACAGGCCTATACGTTGTCGAGATCCGCAAAAAGTTACAAATATTATAAAATCTGTGTGTATTTTGCATAATTTCGTACGAAGCAGAGAAGGTATTCAGTATAAAC